ACCGTTTTGAAAAAAAGTTTGTCTAGTGGCACAACTTTTGTTAGCTGGCGCTTGTGTCTAGGTATTTCTATTTTTGATGAGATTCTCTCGAAGATGAGTCATGGATGCTCGTTTATCAGCTATCAGTAATTTTTATTATGCTAGACGATTTATTGAAGCTTTTTTGCAAGTTTTTTTTAAACTGTAGCTAATCGCCACATCAATCTGAAGCATTCACCTTCAAATGGACTACTTATCTGATCTTAAGAACTACATAATAAGTATCCGTCAACGATAAACGCGATACTGGACTTATTTGACCAATCAAATCCAATTTCAATCGACCATTTCACGTGCAAAATAATGAGTTTCTCGTGAGTGCTCTTTGATGTATTAGCCACTCATTTTGAGATCCACATAGTAACAACGCAAACGAAAACTCAGTTCCACTGATCATGATAATTCTTTGCCTGCAGTTTTTACGGGTTTCAGTTCCTTTCTCTCATGATTAATATCCTTCTGGCGTTTCCTCTTAATGACTCATAAGCGCTATTAATGAGATCTCGAGAGATTATAATAGTTCGTCTAATAAGCCGAATAGAAAACATAAGTGATTTCGTTAATAAGCTTGTCAGTAAGATTTTTTTCTTCATCAAAAATTCAAATATCATCTTCATCAAAATCACTTCCTCGAGCAATATACTTGATAATCAGGCAAGTAAATGACTGACTGAGTGTTCCAAAGTTTTTGTTGGTGAATCATACAATGAAACGAGGGAAACAGCACTTTGCAGTGGTCAGCACAGATATTTTGTTTTATCGTAGTTTCTTACCAATGACTGTCATCTTGATATGATCACTGAGCATTGCGCAACATATCCGTTGAAGGTTGTCGAATATTTTGGATGAATGAATGCATAGCAGGAAAACAAAATTTCTGCATGAATTTTACTCATTATTTGTTTAATGACACATCGTTATCAATGTCATTCAATTCTTTTCAAAAGTTCAATGCGCTGATGACGAAATACAATACAATACAAATCACGCTTGCACTTACATGTAATGTTTTCGAATTTAGTCATATTCGGCGTGAAAAAAAAGAGATTGCAAACGAATAAAGAACACGAAAGGAATGTGCAATGAATGTACTTCAAATACATAGATCTATTTGAAAATCTAATATTTCTTCGGTTTATTCATTTCCGTTTTTTGACTTCAATAACTTTTTTTATGTAGGTAACGAATACTTTTTTACGGGAAAGAGGCGATAAGTGCATGCGAAGATACTGCGCGTATGAGACACGCTCAAACAGTCATTTATTTGTCCACCATTGAACGATCCAATCCGCCCGATTCACCTTCATTCCATTTCCTCCTTTTTCTTCAGAAATTCCAATCCACTCCCATCTATCTATGAGCCATCATCTTTTCTCACAATCGTTCTTGCAAAGACAAATGATTAATTGAGTGAGTGAAACAAACAACTGTTATTGTTGTCCTTTACGAAATGCTTTAACACCACCCTCTTCACTTGCCGCTCATCTGTTTCCGGTTACATCTAAAACTGCAATGGCGAGTGGCACTTTTCTGAAATATTCACCACCTAAATTAGGTTTAATTACTGCTGATGAATCATCTATCCATCCATCCGTCCCTCTCTTTTATCGTTAAACCGGATCCACTTGTGATGAAAAGATATTGAATATCGAATGGAACTGTTCACACTTGATTTAGAATTCCAATTATTCAGCAAATGCCAAGTAATATATAATTGGGAAGACAATGATTAAAGCGATGATGAAATAATTCAAAAAGTTGTTCGCTAAACGAAAAAGTTACAAACAACACAAATATGATCGCGTTAACGTGTCACGAATGTCAATCTTGATGACACATTTATCCTCGGTTCACCTCACTCTAGACTTATAATGTAACTTATCCAAAGAACCTCATCTCTCGAGCACTACTCACCACCAATTCATCGCTATGACTTCCCTTCACCAAATTCACAAATAAACACAACATAAAACACCACCACAATCAACTAATTTTGCAAAACATTGCGTAATATTAGTAAACTGTTTAATGTCGCAATTCATAATTTCATACCTAACATGGGTTGAATTGAAACTTAGGTCGGTACAATTCACGGTAGTCTGTTTGTTTATTCACCCACTCAGCTGGTACAATTACAATTCATAACAACTGTCATATATTATGCAATAATTGATCATCAAATAACGTCTGAGTAAATATTACCTTCTTTCAATGCTGAATCGTAACAATTCACTTATGCGTTTCATGATAAAACCAGAACAAACATACCTTACTGATTTTGATTTTGTAATGAAAGAGAGAGTGAAATTATTGCCCAAAAAGAAAAAAAAAACAAGAAATTAGGTATGAACTCGAGCGTTGACAATTACGAAAATCAGAAAACATTTCGAAATTCATTCCGTGTCATCTAAATTATTCAAACCGTTATTTGTTCAAAGTACTCCTGCCTCTCTCGTCTCTTCAAATATCTTCCTCATCGGCATTTGTGATCTCCGTCATCATCTTAATCATTATCACACACTCATCGCCAAGCGACAATGGGCGGCTTACCTACAAATAATGAATATAATAAATACAAAACGAACATACGAATACGAAAAGGGCTACAAACTGGGCGGAGCGTGGAGTTGATGAGGTGTCTTATAATACACAATACATAAATATATAATAGTAGTGTTTGCAAATGAATTATTATCGAAGAGCACTGTCAGTGCAACACAACTATTGTCCAGTCGGTTTTATCGTTGTGTGTGTTGTTCATACCTCAGTTCAGTTAACGCTTAATTCGATTTCGGTTTGATCGATTTCACACGTCTGATTATTCACATACCAACCTTCATTCTGAGTCGTTGGTGTGTTTTTAAACCAGTTGATTTAAATTCATATCACACTAAATTGTCATATTACCATTACTCCCTTACCGTTATTATTATTACTACTACTGTCACCACTGTTATTATCATTGATCAATCTACTGCTATCAATTATCACAGTATCGTTTCTCGAAACGTCTCAATCTCGGAACCGTCAAAAGAATATTTTACTGGAAAGCCTAATGGCGAAACCATCGTTTAAAATGGTTCGCTATAAACTTTCGCGAACTAAACGCCTATTGGCGAAACCTTACGACAATGAGAACATTAAGGTGATTTACTTAATACCTTCATCGTTAAAGTTATTTGCGTATTTTAACTGCAGCTAACATGGAGCCTTTCTGTTCCATTTAATCTTATACATAATCCGAGCTTTTGATGCAATTAGAACTAGCGGCTGATCAGCGCCTTATGTAAAAGCCATTCTTTCTTCGATTAATCAAATTTCAACATGTTCTTAACCCAGGCCACATGTTCTCGTCTTTCATAACAATCCTGATCTTTCTTACCACATTATTATTCTTTCATTCCATATTCATCAATCCCATCGCTTTCATTTCTCCCCACACTTCATCCTTTTTAGGCGCAATAAACTTTTCACAAACACAGAACGAACAAAGAAAATGCAGAAAATTTGCAGCGACAAGTCTATGAAAAATTTCTGTTGCTGTTTGCAATTTCTGTTTTTATGATTCTATGAGCTTTCGTTGGTGTGTGGTGAAATGAAATTATTTATATATAAACAATGTGGGAACTTACATTCATTTTTCCAGTGCCATTGCTTTCGTAGTCATATTAAATTGAATAGCCCAATATACGCTTCCTATACCATTTTTCACGTCGTTGTTTCATAATGTCTGAAGAATAATCCCAGCAGCTGCTGTCTGAATTCAATTAAGTACAGGAGTTTTTTTTTTTCGTACTTTACGTTCAAAGTACGAAGTACGAATTTAGTGATTATTCGTAAGTGCAATAGTTTTTTCCATTAGAAGTACCCATCACGAACTGTTCCAATTAACTGCTCTTTATGTGAGAATTTTTGAGGAAACCAAAAATTACTCTGCTCTAATTGATCAAATTAACTGAATACGACTAACGGAACACAGATATATCATTTACCATAAATATCGCGCTTGCTGCAAAGAAAATCATTCATCTAGTGCAGTGAACGATTATTGCTGAATTCGCATTAAGAATTTGCTGCTGCTGAAATACGTCTGACTTCTCAGCTAAATGCCAATCTGCTTAACAAAACATAAACAAGCATCCAACAATACCGTGTCATTATATGTTTACAGTGAATGTGATTTTGTAAAGATTATGAGATCAATATTGTCTGATCGATTGTCTCAAAACAAAACTCAACGATTTAACGGAATATGTTCACAGCTATTGACAGCCATTTTATTGTGGAAACTCGAGAAGAAAAAACGTTGTTATGATCAAATCACCCACCCATCTACGCCTTTCTCATATTGTTACCAAAGCTGTCCAATTTTTCCTCACCGTCACTTCGTATTTAATAATGACAAAAATGATGAATGGATCAAAATCCGATGATTCGAAATCGTTACATCGCGAGTAAAAGAAACACCACGGCATCCAAAATTAAAGAAACTTCTGCAAACAAATTTTGAAGCGACGCATGGAACTGTTCGTACCACTCTACACTAACGACAAATTTCGTAATAGATTCGTACTCTAATCATCGGATTAGGACCCATACTTTCTTAAATTGGTTTTGTTTAATAGTAGTCACGTTAAATTCAGCTGTATGCAGTTGTGAGCTAAAGTTTTGGAATACTTGTGACTAATTTTGCTGAGTTTGAGCCTATTGCGCTGTTGAGATGTGTACGTACCCAAAATAACAATATGGCTCTCGAACTATGTTAATGCGAGTCCAATGAAAAACAAATCCTGAATCGATGTTTTACCAAATCAACATTCAAACGTTAATATCAATAATAATGCTCAAAATATCACCAGTGATGATTAGGTATTTGATTCAAATGAAAAAAATCAATCAACTGGCCAATTTCAGGAGATCGGTGCGATAGCTGCTTTGAAAGAAGTCGCGTCAAGTCCGGATGAAGTGGCCGCCAAATTTGCGAGTGAGGCGCTTACCGTAATCGGCGAAGAAGTACCGTATAAGCTAACGCAACAAGTGCCTTGTTGGACGATTGCTGATGTTCAGTACTGGGTCAAGAAGGTGAATGTCATCTTCAATTATCGCTCTTACATTCCGCATAAACTCTCGTCAGGCAAATGTCCTCTCAAGAAGCGCACGCACCGCACCGTTTTGAGTACAGTCTCGTGACTCGACGTCAAAACCGTCATCAAGTCAACTCTGAGTACATTCAAGAACTGATAAAATATTAACATTTAAGTAAACAGTAACAACTTTCATGGCGCACTACCATACAGGTGCAATGCTATCGACTAGAAAAGCGTTCATCGATAAGCAACAGAACATGAAATTGTTCAGTTGATCCATCAAGTTACATGGTCCATCTTATGTTTATAGGTCATTTTGCATGTTGCACCTCAAAACTGCTCATTGAACAACTGTACAGTTACACTCACTCAACTGATGCCTCAAACTTCCGACATTTTTGCACTTTTGTATTCATTAGATATCTGTCCACCCATCCATCAATTTTCTAGTTTACAAAATTTTCGAAACAACTACAACGCAAATTCTGCTCTGTATAGTTTCACAAATTTGGAGCTTCCGCTAACCGAAAGATCGAAAATATATTCTTAGTTATTCGTATGTTTTTTGTTCGCATCCTTCTCATTTTGATCGAACAGATTCGAATTTCTTCAGAAAGTTATCGGAATTTCCATAAAGTCATGCAACTCCTTGTTTTCTAAATTTTTCATTTATTCGAACTGTGCAAAATTTGAGCTTTTGAAATTATCTGAACTTGAGAAAAATTTTTTGTCTCCAGAAGTGAAATCATAAGTATTATCGCTTTCCGCACGTCCGAAAAGTTCCTCTTTTTTTTTCGGCCAGCGACCGTTCTAAGAGCATTTCTCATCAGGACGTTTTCTCATCGTGCTGATGTATCATCGTTAGCATCGCGTGTATTTTCCATGAACGTCGGATTATTTTCGTGCATAATTCACAAATATAGAACGTTTTATTCATAAATACGGAATGATAATTTGCAGTGAGTGATTCAGTTGTTGAGAATTTTATGCCTTAATCATATATTTATTTAATTGTGTTGCAAGTTGCAAATATTTTCTTCACACTCTAATCATCAAAAGAATGTTTCCTTTTAAGAATGTCAAATGCAAAATGCAACAATTTTAATAATTAAACCGCAAATCCATCATGATACCTTCTGATATGTTCTAGCACACCCACACACANACCATCCACCCACTAATATGATGACGATCACACTTTATTGCCAAATAAGAAAACACGAAAAAAGTACAAAATACTTGATTTCCTTCCTGTTACGATGAACCAATGCGACTTTATTATCACACCATTATCGTTGTTGTTGTCTGGAAGTAATATTCGATCGGAACATTACAGTTGTTGATTGATGTTTCATATTCAGCAAAAGCATAGATTCAAGTGCTGTTTTCGTTATTTCAACAAATTAAAGTTGCAATTGTAGATCGGTTTTGAATCGTACGCTGAGGCATTCGCGAAACATATGGTTGATGGTGATTTGTTGCTGCTGTTAACCGAGAAGGAGTTGGAGCAGGATCTACAAATGACATCCGCCTTACATAGGAAACGATTTATTCGAGAATTGGAGAGCCTTAAGGTTGGTGTTTTGTTGGTTTTGAAATTGCTATTACGAAGGGTTTGCTTCATTGATGCATTTTATTTTTTCGAAATTTTTTGAGTCAGTAGTATTCATTCGGTATGATTGAATAATCTTATTTGTAAATAGATGAATATTTACACTGATCAAATCATAAATTCATTTGTTCATCTTAACACGTGCGTCTTCTATTGAGCGTATCATTTGAAATGTATTTGTTTACCAACACGTTTTTCGACTCGTTCATTTTCCTCTTTTCAGTCCGAATTGCTCAATGAATAACTGAATTCATGCGCTCATTTTGGCTTATTTAGCGGATTATTTTTTCGTGAAATTTAAGAAAAAATTGAGTTCATTCATCTTCATTTACTGATACTTCTGTATGTTTGCTTTTAAATGAACAAATATCGATCCTTCTAAGTCATCTCATTTTCTTCTCTCCAAACTAATTTATTGGTGAAAATAAGAGAAAAATGCTAAAGCTTGCCAATATTGTGTTCAAAATCAACCCAAATCAGATCACACCAATCACCAACATTCACAAATATTTTCCCACTCTCCCGTAATGATAAGAATGTGTTTTTTGTGTGTGTCTCAGTTTTTTTCAGTCAAATAAATTTGAAAGAATTATAGCTATTAACAATTTTATCACCTATTTATTTGTGTGCACATTCATGCGTTCTGTCCTCTCTGAGACAATAATTCAACTGCGTTAATTAACATCAACAAACGAAATTAAGTGCATTAAGGCAATAATTGATCTCATGATTTATGAATCGTTTGACACCATCGAATCACACCACTACTAACTCCTTCATTGATCATATGATTATCACAATTCAATCACCTTCTCTTATCATAATCTCTCTTCATAGTTCATTGTTCTTATTATTTTTTTTACTTTCCTCATTCTTCATCTGTCTTTGTGCTTCACTCACTTAGTAAATTTTATGCATTTGATTATCTTTTTGGATTAGATGAAAGTTAGCAAAATATTTTAATCAAAGGTGATTAATCAGCAGAAAACGTTCAAAATATTGAATTGTGCTGCTGTTCAGTCCTGTTTCGAATGTTATTTCACACAAATCTTAGATACCTATTAGCCGTTGTCAGTCATCAAATGCTGAATTGTTTATAGATAGCAGCAGATTACGGCAGTGTCGATGAGAGTCAACTGGATCAATTTTTGATGTCTCTGAGTCCTGAACTGTCAGTTTATACCTATCAGATGCTTGGAATGGGTCTTAACCGTAATTTATTACCATCCTTAACTGATGACATGATGAAAACTGTTTGTGGCATTACTAATCCTATTCATCGATTGAAGTTACGTCAAGCTTTGCAAGGTTATTTCCTTACCAATAAATTGTTTCGTTATTTTTGTTTATGTTGCTCTTTGTTGATATCATTATTGTGATAATGTAAATCAGTGTTATAAAAAGTTTTATTATTGCATGGATATGACTGTTATTATTATTATCTTTATTATTATCGCAATTTGCACGCATTGAAACTGATTTCGTAGGTTCGCGTAAACGGAAGTAAACTTTTTCAGATAGCAAACACATTGACGATATTGAAGTTGCAATACTTAGTAAACAGATCGATGTTTTCATAAGTTATCGAAGAAGTACGGGTAATCAGTTGGCAAGCTTAATTAAGGTGTTGTTGCAGTTGAGAGGATATAAGGTTGTTGCTGTTGTTATTATCATTTTATTGCTTCATTGTTTTGACTATCGTACTTTTTGTTGTTATTTGAATAGATTTTATGTTCGTTTACTGAATATTGAATATTTTATGTTCATCCAATATTTCAAACGGACATTATTCGTTGGAGGATAGGTTTTGCATATCCAAAAGAATAAAAATCGCTCATCATAAACATTATCATAAGTGGAATTCTGACGAAACTATGAATCTTGATGGTGCCATACATACATAAATATTGCTGGCAGTCGATTATTAATGCAACGATTAATATGGTATTTCAGGTGTTCATTGATGTGGATAAATTATATGCTGGTAAATTTGATTCATCGCTACTGAAGAATATTCAAGCTGCGAAACACTTTATACTCGTTCTAACACCAAATTCATTGGATCGACTTTTTAATGACCATAACTGTGAAGATTGGATACATAAAGAGGTACATTTCCCCGTTGAACTGATTCATTTTTTAAGTCAGATTTCTTCTGCATTCAACAATTAATTCAGTCTGTATTGTCATTATTCATGCGTCACTTTTTAATTCGTACATGCATTATATTCTGGAAAAGTATGGAGTGTTACTGATGATTTTGAATTTCAGTTACGATGTGCCTTCGAACACCACAAGAATGTGATCCCAATATTCGATCAACATTTCGAATTTCCGGCGGAAGATACTGAAATACCGCCTGACATAAGACCAATAACGAAGTATAACGGTGTTCGGTGGGTTCATGACTATCAAGAAGCGTGTATGGATAAAGTTGAGCGTTTCATCAAGGGTGAACTGAATAGGACACCGAGCACATGCCAACAACAGGTGTGTCATTTACTGATTTGTTTCAATAGTTTTATTAGGAATGCATAAGCACTATTAATATCAAAGAATTTCAGTCGTCAGTGTCATCAAGTACGTCGAGTCAGCGACGAGTTCCAACCACAAAATGGGCATCGTCGAATGTGCGGAGTGCAGCCACACAAAAGTGCTCAATAACACGTCAACAGATCGATCCTTCGAATCACCACTGTACGGTAATAACGATATTACTCTTTATTCCATTCGTTTATTGATCAATCGCGTTGATTATTGACCATGCAACTATTCATTATGAGAAATTGAATGTCATTCATTATTATGATTATAATAAATTTTAGTCTCCCCGACCGCCATTGAGAAGCAGCGCCGCAAACAGTGTCACTCGTCCGTAACGACCATTTACAGTGTACAGTAAAAGCAATATTCCACTTCCCTTCCATGTAATATCACACAATCAAATGCGGGTCGCTTCATCTTCGATTCATCACAGCTTTTATTCATCATATATGTATATACATATATTTATTATTCATACCACAATATCTGTCATCCTTTCCTCATTGTTCGTGCGTTTTTTGTCGATCTCTCCACACTGAACAAAATAATATTCAGTAACAATAATAAAACCAATTACTATAATATTATTGTTATGGTTGTTATGATTATTATCGGTATCACCCATACTGATATTAGTATTTATATTCATCATTCAGTATCACTAATCAAGTGACCATTTGGGTGATTATATTCTCACCATCGAAGCTCATGCCCATTGCCCATTCGGAATAAAAAAGCACTGAACCGAAAACCGTAAAATTTCAACTCCATATATGATAGTTTCTGTTATTGGTTGGTCTCTCTTCAACATGTCATGCATTTATTTATCTTCCTATACCTAACCTCCACATCATTTCAATATATATTCATGAGTATTTTTTAGGCAAATTGACAACATTTCACGATAAAAGTTTTGCGATTATTTTCCTTCCTTTGCACTATTTTACAGTTAAATGACCTGATTTATTTGAGTAATTAATAATCAATCCAGATTATGGCAGCGAACGAGTATGCAAACTAGACATTTTTTGGGATTTTCAAAAGTTTCAAAAATTTCAAATTATGACTGTTAGAAAATCGAACTGATGCTGCCTTTGATAATGTCAAACTGTTCGTGTCGTTGATAGTTGCATATCGTCAACGTCGCAGTTATCTTACGATACAATTTCAACAATAACAATCAAATAATACTGAGGCTGCTTTGGGAGGATTCCTCAAAAATTCATTCATTTTCCTTTATTGCACATTGAAAAATGAACTCCTAACAAAAGCAATATTCCGTAATATTGTATGTATAAGTTCTTGTTTCTTTCTTTCGTTGTGTTTTGTTATCACACATACATACGAGTNTTTCGTAGTTCAGGGTTATTGAATTTGTTTTGATTTTGAAAATCTGTATTATTGCTGTGAGCGAATCAATCAAAAAAATCTAAGAAGACGGTGATAAGATGAGATAAGAATCGATGATCGAATGCAATACTGATGTAAATAATCTTCTCGTTCATCCATTTTCTATGAACTGATTGTAACTTATAATACATATCGCTTCTAAAGCATTTATTACTCACTCCATTTGTTCCATGCTGAATGCAGACAGAATGGGTATCTTTCGATCAAAATGCGTTTGAATTTTGAATTAATTCTCAGATTCATGAATGCACGAATCGTTAAATTGATCATTCAAACAAAAGTGACCAATCGAACAAATCGCAAAGAGATTGAAGGATATTCATCAGCGTGCCTTGTTGTCCTTGGCATCCTGAATAAACTAACCTACAAAATGTTTCAATCAAATAAATAAATTTTATGCTATAATGGCTATTGTTGCACTAATTGATTAGTTTCAAATGTCTTATTAACACCATACTGCCATTTTTTCATTCGTTCATTTATTTCATTTCATTCTAATGTGATAACTATTCGAATAGTTTATTGAAACGAAGGGAAGAT